AGTAATATATATATATATATATATATATATATATATATATATATATATATATATATATATATATATATATATATATATATATATATATATATATATATATATATATATATATATGAGAATATATATATATTGTATAATATATATATATATATATAATTTATTTATATATATATATATAAAATATTTTTATAATTATTATTTAAATTATATAGTTATACATATAAAATTAAAAAGAACCCCTATCATGTGTAGGAATATATCAAACATGTGTGCGTATATTTCATAATATACTCTGTGCTTCCTGTACGAAGTAGCTTAGTCACTATAACATGATTATTATGACGCAGGCTGAATCTTCAAGAGGACACTACGTCGTCAATTTGGAATGTGGATCAGTTTTCCCTACCGTACGGAGACAATCTGTATGGAGCACATCCTCACTTCGTGGAGATACGGTATGACGCCTTTGAGGCAAGTATATCGTTTACTGTGGTCTTTTGAAAAACTTCTTCAAATAATTTGAACTCACTGGAATTGCATTTCATTTTGATCGGTAGGAATGGAAAGGCCCATGGTGTGCTATTGCGCAACTCAAACGGCCAAGATTGGCGCTTAACAAAGTCTGGACTGAACGTGGTGACGATCGGCGGTATCATCGATTTGTTTGTGTTTGCCGGCCCAAGTGTGGATGAGGTGAGTATTTGGAACGTGGTTTGTCACCAATGAAACGTGTAAAACGTCTTAAAGTGTTCAAAATGTGTCATTGATCTCTAAAATCTGGGGGCCGGCATCCGATTCTTCGCGCTGAGACACCATCGTGTGTAGAAATAACACTAACAGAACTTTAGAATATAACACTCCTGTGGCCCTGCAGGCTCACACAAACAACATTTAATGCGACTTTCGCATGTCGTTAGTGGATGGATTGCTGAATGATCGTATGATATTCACTGATGCTGATCTCTTTTGATATTTAGGCCAGTCGACAATACCAAGCATTGGTGGGTACGCCGTGGATGCCCCCGTACTGGTCTCTGGGTTGGCAACAGTGCAGATACGGTTTCAAAGATCTATCCGAGATTAAGAATGTTTACAACGAGTATATGCGCCAGGTGTGTATCTTATTATTTTTTCGTTCCTTCTGAGCTGCCATAGGCAATACATGTTACGGTACTGCGACCATCAGAGCTACACTCGAATGTGTGCGGATGCTTGACTCTTTTTTGTATTTAATATAATCACGCAGGCAATTCCTCTGGAAGTAATTTACACAGACATCGACTATATGCATCGCTGGCGTAATTTCACGAACGACCCAATTAATTTCGAGCTGGAAGACTTGCGAGAATTTGTCAAAACCGTTCACGAAGACGACAGGCGAATCAATATCATCGTGGATCCCTGCATTGGGGAAGCGAAAACCGGCGAGTACAAGGTATGCACTATGTGATCGTATGGGAATTACAATAGGTATTGTATTTATATCGCCTGCACTTTACTTTACTGGTGACGTGGAATCGTAAATTTATTCGCTACCTATCAATATACAGCAGATGTGATGGCTATAATTCAGGTTTAATAATTTACCTCTATCACTATGCCCATTGATTTGCGATCTCTCGCTATATAGGCATACGATAACGGCCTCGAGCAGGATGTCTTCATCAAAAATGTGGGCGGAGAAGTTTACAGATCACGCCAGTGGGCGGGCGATGTGGCCATTCTCGACCCGACAGCTAAGAACATTAAACAATATTTCACGGATGAATTGGTCCAGTGGTGGTCGGAAACTGGCATACAATTCGATGGAATCTGGCTGGACATGTAAGTAAACGTGTCGCCATTGTATTTGGATGCAAGAAGGTCGGTTTAACTGACTCGCTGGTGGTGGCCAAAGAGCAGACATATTCCATAGCCTGATGTCTTGTTGTCTTGTAGATAGCCTCATGTACAGAGTGATGGTGAGCGCAACGTCACTGTCTTTAGCCGATGAGAATTCACACTGTTTGTCTATCATCAATATATACTACGAAATTGTAGCAGTCAGGCTTATTTGTGGAGGTGTAGCCATCAGTACAATATTGTACGCAACGAGTAAAAACTAGTTTCGCACTCTACAGGAATGAATTTGCTAGTTTTGTGGATGGTGAGGTAAATACCACCATGCCTAGTGACTGGTTCGAAAATCATACGGTGCTCTGGAAGTACCCAGCCTGGGTCGAAGATGACACAAAACGAGCTAAAATCAATGCCATGACCGCCCAAGAGGTAGGTATACGGGTTTGTGTTCTACGCTAGTATGTCTGCGGTTTACGATTTGGAATCATATTTGATGTGATGCATTCATCATGCAAGGGATTTTCACCCACGTACTTGCACGCCTTGTTATGCAGGTTCTAGACACGGATTTCGAAAAGGAATACCGATTGACCAACGGCGGAAACAGGTACATACCATCATTTCTTCTTTTATTTTATTTTTGCAACTCTCTGATATTTTGATATCGAATCATTTCTAGGCATTCTGTGCTCATGTTTTTTGAAATTCTATTGTCCGGGATAATCAGAGAGTACGAGGATCCGTTGAATAATCCACCGTACCATGTCCACAATTGTGTGGCGGGGATCGATTCCTTCTCAAACGTACAACACGAAGACACTGGCTTCGGAATCTCCGAACTTATTTGGGGGAAACCAGAGGTAGGCGATCTGTCCGTTGCAAGTGTGGCCGGTGACGAAAGTTTGTCTGTAGGCAGGGTTGCATCTGACTCCAATCTCATGTTGATGTTTCACTAATTCTGATTGCGATGGTGAACGGGCTTTCAAGAAAGTTTGTCTGTAGGCAGGGTTGCATCTGACTCCAATCTCATGTTGATGTTTCACTAATTCTGATTGCGATGGTGAACGGGCTTTCAGGTCTCAAAGTGTTGAATAGTATAATAGAGCAAAATGTTATCCCAGACACTGTGATGCCAGACGTCAGATGTGTTGTCCTGTCACGCGCACGGTATAACATTCTATTGCGAATGATACCATGTGGTACATTGCTCTTGTGTGGTGAGTTTCAGGAACGGGTGCGATATTTGTGATCGTCTCTCTGGCCGAGAAATCGACATAGTTGTATCCCTATGGGTTTGATATTTTGGTACGATTGATATGTCTTTAAATCCAGGAAATCTTCTTGTACCCTTTTCTGCAGAAGCCCAAACCTTTAACGCACAAGACATTTGATATGACGGCTAGGTTTGCCAATGGAGCCCAACAATACAACATGCACAATCTATATGGGATCGGCATGGCTAGAGTATGTTTCATTTGCCCGCATACTTGAACAGGCATATGCGGTTTAGATTCCGTGTCGTGTAGAGTGACAGGTGCCAGCCTGCTGTGTAAAACACCCATCGTCAATTGGGCGTGTTTGTTATAGACATGTACCCCATGGCCCAGGTACAGCTCTTAAGACATCTTGCTTGCATTGAGCTGTAGGTTCAGCACACTAGTAGGCGGTATAATCAGTGTGACTGGACGTGATTTGAGTAAGTGGATGATCGTGAAAGTACTGTTGTTGTCTTCTACACAATGTATGCTCACACTGATTCGGATTTTTGTCTCTGCGTACACACTTTGGATACATGTGTAAGAAATTGAATAAACGTATACACATAGATGTACAAATATACACACAAAACAGGTTGTCCGTGCCGCCGCGGAGGCTCTACCACGGGAAGGTAGGCCGTTCATGCTGACACGGTCAACGTTCTCTGGCTCGGGCTCGTTCTGTGGAACATGGAACGGTGATAATGTTGGCAACTGGGAGCAGTATAGGAGTGGGGTACACGCTGTGATCAAAGCTCAGGTGTGTTAACAGATTTCGCGTTAGTATTCCGATTCTCGAACCTCATGTAGAGCCCAGGTGATCAATTTATCAATATAAAGCTTTTGCTGAATTTTGAAGTGAAAAATGGTGCTAATCGACAGAGGTTTATACGAAAATGCTGTGTAATATATATATATATATATCTATGTATGTATATGTATATA